GGCTCGTCATCCCTCTTCGGCCCTAGGTCGGCATCGGTGGCAGCAGGGGTGAAAGAGGCCGTGGTCACATCAAACCGCTTCAGCATACTCCCAATGTACGCTGTCTGGGACAGCTTGGTGATGCCATTTTCTACATCCATGGCGATAGCCCACCCGTCGTATNGGCCTCGTCAGCTTCGTCCACATCAGGCATCCGATCGCCTCTCTCACAGGTTTATCCACCGCAGGCTCGTCATCTCTCTTCGGCCCTAGGTCGGCATCGGTGGCAGCAGGGGTGAAAGAGGCCGTGGTCACATCAAACCGCTTCAGCATACTCCCAATGTACGCTGTCTGGGACAGCTTGGTGATGCCATTTTCTACATCCATGGCGATAGCCCACCCGTCGTATCAGGTACACTCCCCCAGATCTTTCACCGGAAACTTCTTGTTGAGAGAAGCGAACACCTCCTCTCGCTCTCCCTCGTCTGCCGCCACTAAGATGTCATCAACGTAGATCACGATGAGACCTACGACCTCTCCATCCACCACCTTCCGCAAGACACACGGGTCAACCCTGCACTGCTCGTATTCATTTTCGATGAGGCCATCGGCAGCTTCACACACCCACTCACGGCCACTCTGCTTTAGGCCATACAGGGCACGCTCAACCTTGACCACCTTGCCGGACATGCTACCACAGCCTTCCGGGAATCTGAGGTGTATTTCTTCTTTTAGCTTAGCGTGGATGTACGCTGGTTTCACATCCCAGTGAGCGAGTTTCTTGCCCTTTTCAGTGGCTACGGCAATCACCGTCTTGAAAGACNTGGCTACGGCAATCACCGTCTTGATAGACGCTGCAGACGGGCACGCTGATGATGAGTGGTGGAAGTCGATGCCGGGGATTTGAGACAAACCTCGCGCAACCATACGGGCCTTGAAGTCGACTATCAGGCCCTTCTCATTCGTCTTCCAAGAGAACACCCACTTTGAACCTATGGCCTTCCGCCCCTCGGGCAGCTCCTTGACCTTGGTAAAGGTTCCAGTCTTGTCGTGGCCATCTATCTCTTTCTTCATGGCCGCCTCCCAGAAAACCTTGTACTTGGAACACATCACATCCTTGTACGTCATCGGTACTGCTTCCATATCACTCGGCTTCTGCCCGATTGGCGAGGACATACTTAGCTGTGGGTCTGGAAGTGTTTGCGAAGGCCCGCTGGCGTCGACCTCGGCCCCGAACGCCTGCTGTTACGGGCCCAACACCTCCTGCATCTCGCGCCTGTACATCTCCTCCATACGGCGTGTCTGCTCCTCGTCCCACTGC